GGATTGCTGGGAGAACAACCATCATAGTTAGAGTAATAGCATGCTTTCAACCTTTGCAGACTTGCCAGGTTTGTTTCAAATAGGTTATAGCTCTGGTTATGGTTGTTTGATATTATGTCTTTGTGGAATCAACTGTTTGTTATCAAATATTGCTATCATGTTTCCATAATTACGACAATCATAATACCACTAAATTTTTTGCTGTTCATCTGCTACCAGGCTGAATATTTCCGTCAATTGCTTAAACCTGTTACTTAGTTTGTTTTCGAGTTTCCATCATCCAATCAAGCTAGCAATATATAGTTTCCGCCTTCTTTTGTTTAGCACTATTGAAAGTGAGCGGTTTGAGGATTAATTTCAGGCATTATCCTGGTACGATATCAATATTTTGATGGAACTTGCTCTCAATTGTCTTGATTCGTATCTAAAGCTTGCGAATGACCATTACAATTATGCATGCCAGGTTTTTTTGACTGAATGGTTAAGGCCAAAGAGTCTTGTCAGCAGTTATCTGCATGGAATTTGCCCAATTTGGATGACGTGGCACTTTTACAGCTGAGGCAAAACAATAGTTTGCCATGGTTTCCAAATTCTTCCACATTTTCTGCAAATGTGGGTTTTCCGGGATGTACAATTTCTAATTTACCCGGTTCAAAAACCGGACAACTAAACAGAGTTGATGGGTTCTTCCAACATCTTTGCCGTCGCTTCGAGAGCTCATCTCCTATCATAAACCCATATCTGAAAGATTCTCAATGTGGATTGTCCTATGGGCTTGGGATGAGTGCAAACCCTGCTGGTGCTTCTTTCACTTCTCAGAAAAAGTTTCTCATTTTCGATCAGTCTGATAATAACACTAGATTGTTCTTTAGCCCATCATTCTCTCCTTCCCAAAATCAAATTGTTGCCTCCAATACTGCTGCTGGAGGTTGTGGCACATGTGATGAAATGGCTGTTCAAATGGACCAAGAACCACAGTCCTTGGTGAAGCCAATTATTCTGGAGAAATGGGATGAAAATGATTCAGCTGGAGGAAGTGAGGTGCATGAAGACACTGAGGAAATCAATGCTTTACTCTACTCAAATAGCAATGATGAGTATGATGATGATGGTGAGAATGATGAAGTAACTAGCACGGGCCATACTCCACTCACTATTGAAGAGGGATATGACAAGGACATACAAATTGGGGAACTAGTTGAGGAAGTTGCCAGTTCTAATGGCTCAGTTAAAAGGCAAAAATTGCTTGATGGTGGGTACAAGAAATCATCATTGTTGGACACAAGAGGTCCAGTGAAAAGGGATAGTCCGCTAAATTACGAGGATGATGTGGAATCAAGCTGTGCTGGTGAGCATAACTCTGATGATATTGATTCCATTAAAAGAGTAAAGAAGGTTAAGATTCGCGAGTCATTGAAAATCCTTCAGAGTATTATTCCTGGGTTAAAGAATAAGGATCCACTGTTGATAATTGATAAAGCTATAAGTTACTTGAACTACTTGAAGCTG